AAATTGAATTTTCATGGACTGTAATTACTATAGTGCTTTTTTTGTGTTTATCTTTACTAATTCATGATGAATCCACGTCTAGAAGTGGTGAACTTAGCCGGAAACGGTGGTTTTTCAAAGAAAATATACCGTTTTTTTCGAAAGGACGTGGTCGAAGCCGCATGGTGTCTGATTTTTTTGTTGAACATCCGAGTGGACCCTTTTTTGAACTTAGCGAAGATCAATGGAAACAAGCGGTTGCAAAAAATAAAATATTAAACGCTATTAGTGATGTCGATTATCTTAGTGGAACAGCAATTGCTACCGTTAATATTGAAACACACACCTATTTCGATAATGATACGATCTTAACTCAGTTTGAAAGATTGTTTCAAATGCTAGAATTCAAACAAGAATTACAAGCATCATCAGATAGAAATCTTCGTGGACAACGCAAGGGCACATACTACAAAACCGTATTCATTACAAGAATTTGGTAAAACTATTGGTACTCGATGTTCAGTTGAACAGATCGAATATTCGATGAAAATGGTGCAACAAAAGTTATTGATTGCTATTTTAAGCAGGAGGAATAAAAAGATCAGTCAAATGGTTTAGTTGAACTAGTTAAAGAGTTAGGTGTACCATTGTCACCTAAGGCTAAATTAAATGAAATTCAAGGAAAACTTTCAAAACGTCGAGCTTTTCAAAATGTAAGTGAAAGTCATTCCATATTTTGAAATATATTTCAACCTATATAATTTACTCTATTGTATAGGTTACAAAACTTGAGATGCTATAGAGCAAATATAATGTTAATATTATATACTGCCCTAAATTTCGTTGTGAACTAAACGCAATTGAATGTCTTTGTTGCAATCAAAAGGCATTTGTTCGTTCACGTACAGATCAAAGTTTTGGAAAAATGATCAAATTAATAGTGGATTCTCGTATAAATTTTGTCGAACGAAATATTGCATTAAAATTATTCGGAAGATTTTGGCGTTGAATGGAAGCATATTCTAAAGGTCAAACATATGTTGACATATTAAAACTGTTCTTTAGTCAACTTTGCAAAACATCAGTTCAATCACATCATAAAATATCAAATAAAAATATAAACGAAGATTAATAAACATATTTTTTCCATTTCAATACTTTTAACTTGCATGTCTTCCTTCATATTATATAACTAAGTATGAAAAGTGATTAATCTGTCCATTAAAAATCATAAACTAGTGATTAACATCACAAAACTATGTTCCATCCTGAGAAGGTTATTCAGAGATCCCCTGAAGACCCTCCGAAGATCTCGAAAATATGTCCATTCGGTTTGTCATTGGTTTTTACCTATGTGAATAAATTTCCACTCGGTTTGAAGGAAAATTAGTCATTTTATTTAAAAATGACCTTCCCCTTTGACGTATGATACTCGTACACACGATTTTTCTGAACGCAAAAAAGAAAAGAAAAAAAAGCGATGCGTAACTTTGTGATTGGTGGTATGATGAGTCGAATGAGATAAAATATTTGACTCCATCACTTACGTAGAAAAACTAGATAGGTTTACAAAATCGACCTCTATGTGGTGCACTCAATGTGATTCGAAGTACCATCACCAATAGAGTTTTTGCGCTTGAGTCGATTTAACAATTTATTTCTACCCAGTTTTTGATGCTGAATCTGAAAAAATGAGCAAAGTAGAAAATTTCACACATTTCGAAAAAGAATGTGTTTTTCTCGACAAACGACAATTTTCGAGTATTTTGTATTTTTTGATCGGAAGGAGGTATTTGATAAGGCTAAAAAATAGTTTTCCGTGGTCAACAGCTCAAGCTCTATCAAATGATGTAAAAAAAGCGCGCAAAAACATTTTTACTGAAAATTCGCATTACCGGTCCCTTACATTCCAATGTTACAAAATCAACTGTTTGAACAATTTGTTTAGTGATAATATTTTTAGAGAAAAAGATTTTATTATACGTTCACACTTTCTTTTCTTCTAGAACTAACAAGATTACGTGAGACAAACTCTATAATATTTTATGAACATGACATTCTTCCTGACTTTAGTAATGAAGTCTGTCATTTTTAAAGTATATTTCTCCAAGCAAATGCAATAGAAGAGGCAATTCATTTCGATGAGTATAACGTTCACTTAATCTAATGTGACTCGATAATTTTTCTTAGAAACACTTCTACAAAACATCGTATTAAGTTGGATAGTAAAATCCGTAATAAGGTCAGAAAAAGATTTCAAAATAAAATTTACGCAGTGCTTTTGCACATATGGTGAAAAGAGTTGGTTTGAGTATTGCTTTTGTAAGCAACCATTTTTGTATATTTATTATAGACCAATTTATATAAAATAGAACTTTAATGAATATGAAATGAAACTATAAAAATGTCAAGTAAATCGCTTGAATAGTTAAAGAGATAATTACGTTTCTTTTTCCATAGGACTTTTGGGATGCCCTCTATAATAACTTCGTTGTTCTTTTTGAGTTTATGTTGAGGAACAACTGACTGGTATGTTTAAAGTTAAATAATAAATGTTTTTTTCTGTTTAGGTCTACGTCAATAAGCAATCAAATGGTGAGTTTAAATTTAAATGATACGGTTTTTTTTTATTTAAATTCATGTCAGTGAACAATGCAATGGCAAGCTTCGACTTATAGAATAAATTATTATGATTTCTATTTAGAATCATAGCAACAGGAAACAGCAGATTTAATGGAAGGAGAATGGAATGTGTGCTAGGACTCAACAGGCACGGGATAATTGAATTATTGCCCTTAGCTATGGTTTTAAAAAACCGTTTATCGTAGCGATAGTCGATTAAGCATATTAACTGCACTGTTTTTTTTTCTGGATAGAACCTTGTTTTTAGGAATATAAAAAAAGGGTTCGAAATAGAATTAGATTTTAATAGAACTTCAAAAGGTTCATAAAATGATAACCAAATCCAGAATCCAGAAAGATTCAGTATGACATCTTGTTTTTTTTGCATTTTTTACAGAGTACTGAGTCAAAATAAAATAATAGTACTGGTACAGCAAAAGATGGACATAGATTAATAAGATTGCTAATGTCCTGGGATATTCATATGATTGAATTGAATATCGGATGTGCAGTTACTTTAGTGACTGAGATGATGATCAGGTAGCTTAATTGGTAGAGCAGCTAACCGGTTATGGAAACGTGTGAGTTCGATTACGATCCTGCTCGAATGATTCTTTCTATTTTGTCTTTCGTAATTAATAGATCATGTCAAGTGAATGTATTTATTTTAATACTATGAATATTTTCATGTGGACAAATAAAAGGATTATAGATAGTTCTTATTGAACTCGTTTATGCTTTCTCTTTCTAATTTAAGATATTTCAATCTTAACATTAGAATGTTATTCAGAGTTGTTTGTTTTTACTCTTTTTAGCTTTCTATTGATTTGAGATAAATATCTATGAATAATATTATATTTCGTCATTTACTTGATGATGATTCTAAAGCAAGATCGAAACGATCGTCATAAGCAGCTTGGAATTAACTTGTAAACTCACCCTCACCGTCACACCTCGATATCGATTGCTGAAAAGCAAGAGGTGAGAGTAGCAAATTGATTTGTATCTTCAATATATATACGGATCAATCTGTTTTTCGTTTGAATCACCGTTCTCGTACAACAATACGAGTTCAACTAACGAGAGAACATTCCCAAGTGTCACATCGCTTTTGAGTCGAGCGTATGCGCATCATGTAGGTCCTAATGATCTATGAACACTCTGAAAAAAGTTCGTGCCGATTGCTTATTACTGTCGAGATATTGCATTTTTACTGTATGTTTAAGAAAAAAAGCTGTGGTCCCCCTCAGGAACACTAGGAAAACTAAGTTTCGAATTTCGACTTGAAACTTTGCATAGAGATAGACCTCTGTGAGAATAGTTTATTATGAAAATTTCAGATCTTTTCGTTGTTCTCATCTTAAGATGCAGCTATGGCAAAATAGCTTATATACACCAGCAGACTTCGATGTTCTTATTTCAGACTAGAAAGAATCAAAAGATCTGAAATTTTCACAATAAACTATTCTCATTGAGGCATGTCCTTGTACAAAGTTTCAAGTTGAAATTCGAAACTCAGTTTTCCTAGTGTTCCTGAGGGGGACCACGGCTTTTTGCTTATACATATAGTAAAAATGCAATATCTCGGCAGTAATAAGCAAGCGGTACGAACTTTTTTCAGAGTATTTATAGATCATTAGGGCCTACATGATGCGCATATGCTTGACTCAAAAACGATGTGACAGTTGGGAATGTTCCCTCGTAAGTGAATCATTAGTAACTAATGTTCCGATATGTTTTGATTATAGATCAATGACTGAATATGCAGTGAATTTCTTTGCTGGAGAGAATTCTGAATAGTTTAACTGGCAAAACAACCGACTCGATATCGGAAGTTACAGGTTCAATCTCTGTTTCGATTTCATGATCTTTCTCAATAAGTATTTCATACTTACTGAGACGTATTCGTGTGGTTACACTTTCTAAAATCAAGATGTATTTTCGTGGACAAGTAATTACGATTACTTTTCTTTGGACTCTTATTTATTTTTTTATACACACACTCACCTCACCCTCTACCATATTTTAATGATATAAAGAATAAGTAATGATGATTAAATGAACCAGATAATGGATGGTTTATTTTTGAAAAAAAAGCGAGAAAGAACAATCAACGGAAGAGATCACAAAAGAAAGATACCGAGAGAAAAACAAAGATCAAGGAAGAAAATCATAATAGCAATGATAACCATGATAATTTCACTAACATACTCTCACAAAACAAATCGAAACTGAAAAAAAAAAAAGAAAACCAAATATAAATATTTTCTGATTGATTGGACAGATAGAGAGGCAGAGAGCGAGACAGGCAAACAAACATTTTTGTTTGGTAGATCCTTTCTTTCAGAAAAGAGAATTAAAATGTTGATGTTGATTTTTTTTATTATAAATGAATGGTCCTATGTTGGACACCAAGTAGATCTCCAAGGATTTGGGAAACCATTTAAAGCTTCATCAGTAGAATTTGGATAGAATATTCTATAAATATTTTTACACAACATGTCTTGAATATAAACTGTGTTAAATGTTGGCATTTGATTTGTGGGTTTTGCAGAAGTCTCAGTCAACATTGGATTATTATATTTCCAATTGCTGTAAACAATATTTGCAAAACCATTAAGAATAAATGGTTGTGCTGTTGAAGCAGTGAGCCCATTTTGACTATCAATAATACGCATTGCTCTCATCATATCATCATCTTCATGAATAAGATTATGGCAATGAAACATATAATCACCTTTATGAGCACCAAATCTTGCTATTACCCAAAGCTTATTTCCTGCACCTAAATATAATACATCTTTTGGTGACAAGACTTCATAACTTCTTAATCCATTGTCACCATCACGTTTAATAATATAAAAATCAACAAGATGCATATGTACAGGATGAAACCATCCACCACCGGTTTCATATAACCAAAGTTCCCATGTATTCTGTCCAATATTTTCAGCAGCAATTTTGAATGTGTCCCAAGTTTCACCATTAATTACCCAATGTCCATTGCTTCTACCAAAAACCATTCTTCTATGAAATTGACCTTGATTTGCCATGTTAATTGCTATGTTAATATCCGAATTATTTAAGACTCGTTTTATTGGCTTTTCTGGTACTGGATTTGGCATGTTTTCTTGAAATTCTGGCGATGAACCAGAAGTTGTTGCAGATATTTGAAGTTTTGCAAGTAAATGACTATAGCAAAAGTATGGTACATCTTTCATGAAAGTATCGTCTTTATGGTTCCACATATACAGAATTTGATTTTTTAATGCTCTAAAATCACATACAACATCATATCTTTCAGCAATACCGATTAATAATCCTGTTGTAGGAAATGTTACAGGTGTATCTCTAAATCCTCCATCAGTTCCAAAAATTTTGCAGATTTGTTGTGAGACATCTTGAAGTGCATTATTTTTTATTTTTAACAAAAATGGACGAGATACTGCACCATTTAGAATTCTAAAACGATACCATTTTGGTTCAAGACACATTAGAGGGAACGGTATTCCAGACATCATATTAATATCACCATATAGACTTTTTTCATGTATGTCTAATGTATCAATAAATAATTGGCAATTAGAATCAAGTACTTTATCTTGTAGAATAATATGTTTTTCTTCAATATCTTCTAAATTCCACGGTTCACCACATCCACCATTTTTTACTTTTGAACTTACCAAATGCAAACCAGCAAGACCAAGATAAGCATTCTTAGCTGTGATATGAAGTGCGTGATCATGATACCAATTGATTGCTGGGCGATTATTTGGATATACATATTCTTTTGTCTCACCATAGCAAGTTTCATCTTCGGCCCATCCATCATATGGCGGAATACTTGCTGAACCATGATGATGAACACTAAACGGTCTTCCTGTTCTATTTCCAATACAGGGACTAAAACATTCTGGGAATAAGTTACCGATTTTATTGTTGAATCGTACAATAGATTCATGTCCTGAAGGAACAATAAATGTTGGTCCTGGTATTTTGTTGTTATAACTTAAAAATTTTGTTGCTGGTTTATTTACACATGCAGGCACACTTTGATCAAAGGGTCTTGCTGTGGTATCAATAACATCAACTGTATAAGAAAACATACAATGTCCATCTGTACGACATACTTTAGATGATGGAGAAATAATCGGTGGATTTACAAAATTGTTCTGAAATGGTTTCAAGATATATGGCGTTCCTACGAATCCATCGACCTCATATGTATAATTATTCGCTTGCGGACAAATATCACTCGGATTTCCAAATGGAGATGGCGGGACTTGTGAATTGCAAACGTAAAGAGACACCAAAAAAATAAGTGATATTAACCAACACATTGAAACGTAAATGCAAATGACAAAAAATGCTTGTATACTTCAAATGCTAAAAAAACAAATATATTTGATGTATATATATATAATCGTTTCTCCAGAGAAGCGACAAGTAGAGGCCTGCAGGGTACAAATCTCTTAACCTGTCACAACCTGCGACAATTTGTGATCATTCGATATTGTCAACATCTTTTATAAAGTTATACAGGAACGAAAAGAATAGAAGTAAACTGACAATCAAATTAGATTGGTCGCACAGATATTCAACAGAAAATGATATTTGTGAATTTTCGGGAGGAGTGAGTGATGAGATTAAACAACAATATAGAAAACGAAAAGATTCCAATATGTATAGTACATGTTAGACTACATAAGTCTTGGATGATCTTTATTAACAATCTCTTTTTTGAAGTTCCTGTTTAAGGTGCGCATAATGCAAAAATTGAGTAAATTTTTCTTCGTTCCTTAATATATTATTCAATACAGCACGAAAGGTTAGTTAGAGATGTATTATTTTTAAATCGATTGGTACATGTTCTAGAGAAAACCATAAAAGATGAGGAAAGTATGCAGCACGGTCCAAAACAGTTAAAAAAGAAGTCTTCGATAGAAGTTTTCAAGTTTTTGCTAGGGTGTCGGAAATGCAAAATTAAAGCAGAAT